GGCTATGTACATTCGCTGTCTGAAGAACGTCCGCGTTGCTGACTCTAGACAAATACGCTGGCAAAATCTTGAACATTCTCCTCAAGCATCGCGCTTGGAATGCATCTAGCTTCGCCCTATCAGCCTTCAACAGCATGCACGATTCGAGGCCGTATAGCAACTTCGATAAAACACACGTTTCAAAAATTTGCAATTGCAAAATCTGTTAGAAAATGCATTTGGTTCCAGGCGGTCGCGCTTGGAATTTCTAGTTGGCAACAAGGTTGTAGACAGGCTATGTACATTCGCTGTCTGAAGAACGTCCGCGTTGCTGACTCTAGACAAATACGCTGGCAAAATCTTGAACATTCTCCTCAAGCATCGCGCTTGGAATGCATCTAGCTTCGCCCTATCAGCCTTCAACAGCATGCACGATTCGAGGCCGTATAGCAACTTCGATAAAACACACGTTTCAAAAATTTGCAACTTGCGCTGTTAGCTTAAATGTGCATGGTTCCAGGCGGTGCGCATTTTCTCAAATGCTCCTTTGGCCTCTCCGAGGCGCTTTGCCAATTCGTTGCGTGGCCGGCCGTCTACACTCAGAAGCCCACCAAGGTAGACGGCGCTCTCTTTACACGGGGGCGCTCGAAATTGGCGACAGATTTGTGCAGATCGCGGCCACCCAGTGGGGCTGCGAGGTCTCGGCTGGATGCGCGTACTCTCCCGACTCCGCTGGACATCCAAGGAGTTCACGAGAGTGGTTGCGCAGTTCGCAGCCACCCATGGACCTGCGAGGTCTCCGCTGGATGCGCGTACTCCCCTACTCCGCCGTGCCTCCCAGCAGCCCACGAAAGCGTGGCGACAGTGTTCCGCAGTTCGCAGCCACCCAGGGAGCTGCGAGGCTTCGGTTGGATGCGCATATTCCCCCGACTCCGCCGTGCCTCCGAGGAGCCCACGGGAGAGTGGTGACGGTTTTGCACATTTCGCAGCCATCCGGGGAGCAGTGTGGGAGAAGCAAGGGAGGAGGGAGGAGGCAGGAGGGACGCAGGGCGCAGGAGGGAGGAGGAAGGGGGAGGAGGAGAGAAAAGCGGAGGCCACTGCGCTCTTCTCTAGACGGGAGCCCAACACGGGAGGGTGGAGGAAGGGACGAGGAGAGGAAGGCGGAGACCGCAGCGTTCTACTCCAGGACGGGAGCCCAACAGGGGAGGGAGGAGGAAGGGGGAGGAGGAGAGGAAGGCGGAGACCGCAGCGCTCTACTCCAGGACGAGAGCCCAACTTGGGAGGGTTGGGACAAGCGGCTTCTTGCCCGCCCCAACCGCGCGAGGCACTCGTCGGCAGCATCCAGGGCGACGAGGGCTTGAGGGCGCTCGCCATGATGTCCAACGCGCCGGGCCGGCGGGGCCGCTCAGAGCACTCCCGGGGGGGACATCACGTACCGCGGCGTCCCGTAACGCGGGCTGCCCATCGGGGATGGCCAGCGCTCGTGCTGCACGAACACGATTGACATGACGAGGGCAACGGCGACGGCAACGACGACGACGGCGACAGCGACGAGCTCAATGACGACGGAGGCGGAAACGACGACGACGCCGTCGACAACGAGCCGCTAAGAACAACAACGGCATCAACATACATTCTCGGAGCTCAGCGCGAATTTCTTGGGTCGGCGCTGGGCCCCCCTGGCGGCGCCTCCGGCGCCGCCCCTGACGCGCTCCGCGTGCCAGGGAGGGGGGTTCAGCGCAGATCCAAGAAATCCGCGCGGACCGTCCAAAGTTGGTGTCTATGCCGTTGTTGGTCCCTCTATAGAAGTGGCAGCGAGCGGCAAGTTGTTACAAGCGATCAGAGAATCAATAGATGCCGATGCCGCTGCTCGCCCTGGAGAGCCCTCGTCGCCACGGCCAGGGTCTCCTCGAATTCCTGGTCAGCATGCGCCCTGGAAGAGGTCCGGGGGGAATCGGGGTATTGGTACCCTTTTGCCCCCCAAACGAGTTGCTAATACGACGTCGGCACTGCCGAGTTCCCAGCAGAAGATGTCGTACTGTGCGTTGACCATTCGGGTGCCCAGCATGAGAGAACTCGAGACCTTCCGGCACACCGAGACACGTGTTTGCGGCCAGAGCCGTGGCTCGTGCATGGCAACTCTCCAAAGAGGGCGTGGGACAGCAAGAACCCTTAAGCCCAGTAACACGATGAAGACGTGGCCTCATTGAAGTCCCCGTCTGCGCACTAGGGATAACAGACATCTGCAGAAAAGGCCTCCTCATCCCTAGTTTTTGGGGGCCCTCCTGGCTTAGGTCCCCTCCCAAAGGGTTTTTTGGGGTACGTTTGCTGCCTAGCATGAGGCAGGCAGGGATAGAGACGGGGGGCGGGGGGGGGGGCTCTCGGGCCTGGGGGCGCCCTGCCATTGGACAGGGCCCGCAGGCATGTCCCGATCTAGACGTAAGGCCGAGGCCCTCTAAGAAGCAGGGTGCTTTTAAGAAGCCTTCCCCCCCCCTCCCCCTACCCCCTGGCACGGGGAGGAGGAGGAGGAGGAGGAGGAGGCGCAGAGGGGGCTCCCAAGCTCGACGCCTGGTCTCCCAGGCGTCCCAGCCCTGGGATCCAGCAGTGGTACTACGGCGCAGGGCAAAATTCGGGCGAAGGGAACTATGCACATGCACCGATCCTGGCAAGGCCCATTCTTGACCCAGGATCGGTGCATATACCTTCCTGGCCAAGGTAGGAGGGCATATGCACCGATCCTGGGCTCAGGGTGGGCCTGGCCAGAATCGGTGTATGTGCATAGCTCTCTTTCCTCTAAAAATGTCAGGATCGTATGGGCTGCGGGGGCCTTGCGCCGTTGCCCTTGCTGCTTCGGTGCGAGTTCATGCCATGAGCGCATCTTCCAAGCTCTTGCAAGGGTCTTGCATCTTTGATCGGCTGCCCTCACACCGATCGCAGCCTGCGCAATGTGAGCGAGGTGCTAGCAGGGAGCAAGATCGACGCGTTCAGTTACAAGGACGTCTCAGACAAGCAGGTTGCTGAATAAGGAGTGGTGTCATCTGTGGCCAAAATGAGAACCTACCATGATCCATCGGAAGTCGCAGGACGTGGGCCATACCCGATCTCCCTCTCCTTCGGAATCCACGTGGGTTCCGAGAGGCTTGTGAGGATGTGTCTTCTTCCTAGTTGGCCCAAGTGGTACCATGCTACCTGCCCTGACAGCACGGGTGTCCTGTTTTAGTCCGTACCCGTAAGGTGTGGGAGTTTTGAAACCAGGACCGACCATATCTTTGGTGACCCACGTTGCAGCCACGAACGATGTCCTCTTGCGCCTCGTCTCCAGGAGAAGGTCAGGTGGGGCGAGAGGACCAGCTATGCTATAGGCGTGGCGAGCCTGCCAGCTGCCATCCCTCCCATCGGCGGTGCGCCCAGCGGGGATGGCAGAGGGGGTGGACCTCCCCAGAGGGCTCGGAAGGCCTCCGACCTTCTGAGAAGCCTTCTGAGCCTCCTCCGAGGCCACAGCGGGCGTCTCCGAATGCCAGGCGAGCGACGGAACAGGACGGGGTCGACTGCGCCGATCGTTGCGCGTAAAGTTCCCGCGCAAGGTCGCACGCAACTATGCGCCCTCGTTTCCAATGCAGCGGTCAGCGCTGGCGGCCCGCGTGAGCCACCGCGCAAGGTCGTCGTGACATCTCGCGCAATAATACCCTTCTGTTCTCGTCGCCCAGATGGTTCCTGAGAAGCCTTGCCACCTTCTGAGAGACCTGGGCCAAACCTCACCTCCACCCTCGGCACGCCGCCGATGTCACCCCGCACGGCAGGTTCACGCGGCGATGGCGCGCCAACGATGCGCGCTCACGCCTGAATTCCGCACGACAGAGAGACGCGGAAGGCACCGACGGACACGGCAACGCCACGGGACCCGACGGAATTCAACTTCGGACGGTCGAGGCCGCGATCAGTTCAAGGCTGAACGATCGACGCGGTGCCACAAGCCTTGACGCGCGCCGACGCCGCGCGAACCCACCGGGCGTGCTCGCCGTTCTTCGGCCCCTGGCGGGAGGTCGGGCGGGAGGGAGACGGTCACCACCCACTAAACCACCCCAACCCAACCCGAAGGCCTCAAATTGACATCCATTTCCAGTGGGGGGGGGTCGGGGAACATGGAGAAAACACATATGGAACCCGTACCCCCCCCAACCCGAAATTCGGGTCTTCGGGTTGGGTTGGGGTGGTCCTGGTAGGTAGTCAGACGGAGCAGCATGCCACGGACGGTGCGCCTCCCGGCGGCCATCGCGGCAGCAGGTGCACGCCGCGGCCGGGATGCCCGACGTCTTCAAGCACTACTCGGACCACGGCTTCCTCAGGCGCGCATGGCGCCAAGCCGCGAAGCTCCGGGCGATTTAGAGCTGGTCAGTGTCGGATCAAACTTGCACGAAGTCGGGCCCGTCCTTCTACCGGAGGGGTCTTCAATCATGGTAAAAAATAGTCTGGGTATGTGTTGACCATTTGGGAGTATGTGTTGAGTTTTTCATTTTTCGTCCAAGATCCCCTTGTCAGTGTCGGATAAAACTTGCACGAAGTCGGGCCCGCCCCTCTACAGGAGGAGTCTTCAAAAATGGACAAAAAATAGTATGGGGACTATGTTTTGAGTATGTGTTGACCATTTGGGAGTATTGCGAAGGCCTTACGGCCGTTGCCGCCGACCCTGAAGATGACGAAAGACAACACGAGGGGGGGGGCACGAGGAGGAGGAGGAGGAGGAGGAGGAGGAGGAGGCGGAAGGGAGTACGAGGAGGAAGGATGAAGGGGGAGGAGGAGGAGGCCTTATGGATGTTGGTTGGGATCTCGTGGTTGACCTCTCGGGGGCGTCTGGAAGGCAACTTGAAGCCTCTTGGGGGCCGTTGTGGGGCCTCTTCGGGCCTCTTTTGGGCCTCTTGGGGCTTCCGGAGGCCGTCTTCGGCGCATCTTGGGGGCGTCTTGGCGCCGCTCGGGGGCCTCTTGGGGCCTTTTGGGGGCCTCTTGGGGCTTCCCGGGGGCCTCTTAGGGCGGAAGTCTCGAATTCTCGGTTCCTCGTCCCCCTCTTGGCCGTTTCTTGGGCCCGTCTTGGGGCCCTATTGGGCCGTCTTGGGCGCCTCTTGGGCTGTCCTGGGGCCTTCTTGGGCCGTCTTGGGGCCCTCTTGTAGGCCTCTTGGTGCGCTCTTGGGGGCCTCTTGGGGGCCTCTTGGGCCGTCTTGGAGTGTCGACAAGCCGAAAAAGCGAGAAGGCCGAAATCATTCAAAAACCGATGTAAAATTGACGATTTTGGCTCCTGGGGCCCTCTTGGGAGTGCTCTTGGGGCTCTCTTGGAGCGTCTTGAGGGCCTCTTGGGCCGTCTTCGGGCCGTCTTGGGCGTCTTGGGGCGATCGTTCGTCGAGTCGAGGCCCTCTTGTACCCTTTTGGGGGTGTCTTCTGGCGCTCTTGGCTCGTCTTGAAGCTTTTCTGAGCTCCGGGACCCCCCGGGGAGGATGCGTATCTGGGTGGCGACACCCCCCGGCGACCCCCCCCCCCCCGGCGGGGAGGGTAGGGAGGGGCTTCGCCACGACTCAACTACGACGTTGCTCAATGTCGCTTTGGCTTGCGCGCTCAAGGAGACGGGGAACGACGAAGACGACGAGGGACAACGGAGACGGAGACGACGAGGACACGACGGAGACGACGACGACGACGACGACGACGACGACGACGACGACGGTGATCCACGCAAGACGACGACACCGGGATGCGTCTTCCACACGCCGACAGGGTCGGCGGATTTGTTGAGTATGCTTATTCCCGGCGGAGCCGGGTGAAATTCCGTGCCCGCCGGTGACTGACTGATTGATTGACTGACTGATTGACTGACTGATTGACTGACTGATTGAGTGACTGAACGTCAGGAGGGCACCTTGAACAACACATTTCAAACCGCCCGCGGGCGCGCAACCGCAGCTGGGCGACACATTTCAACCCGTCCGCGGGCGCGCAACCGCAACCGCAACTGGGCGACACATTTCAACCCGACCGCGGGCGCGCAGCCGCAACCGCACCTGGGCGACACATTTCAACCCGCCCGCGGGCGCGCAACCGCAACTGGGCGACACATTTCAACCCGCCCGCGGGCGCGCAGCCGCCACCGCAACTGGGCGACACGTTTCGACCCGCCCGCGGGCGCGCAACCGCAACCGCAATTGGGCACCACATTTCGACCCGCCCGCGGGCGCGCAACAGCAACCGCAACTGGGCGACACATCTCAACCCTGTCGCGGGCGCGCAACCGCAACCGCACCTGGGCGACACCTTTCAACCCGCCCGCGGGCACGCAAGCGCACTTGGGCGACACAATTCAACCCTCTCGCGGGCGCGCAACCGCAACCGCACCTACTCCACACATTTCGACCCGCCCGCGGGCGCGCAACCGCAAGCGCACCTGGGCGACACGTTTCGATCCGCCGGCGGGCGCGCAACCGCAACCGCACCTGGGCGACACATTTCCACCCGCCCGCTGGCGCGCAACCGCAACCGCACCTGGGCGACACATTTCGATCCGCCGGCGGGCGCGCAACCGCAACCGCACCTGGGCGACACATTTCAACCCGCCCGCGGGCGCGCAACCGCAACCGCACCTGGGCGACACATTTCGACCCGCCCGCGGGCGCGCAACCGCAACCGCTACTGGGCGACACATTTCAACCCGCCCGCGGGCGCGCAACCGCAACCGCACCTGGGCGACACATTTCAACCCGCCCGCGGGCGCGCAACCGCAACTACGGGACACATTTCGATCCGCCGGCGGGCGCGCAACCGAAACCGTAATTGGGCACCACATTTCAACCCGCCCGCGGGCGCGCAGCCGCACCGCAACTGGGCGACATATTTCAACCCGCCCGCGGGCGCGCAACCGCAACCGCACCTGGGCGACACATTTCAACCCGCCCGCTGGCGCGCAACCGCAACTACGCGACACATTTCGATCCGCTGGCGGGCGCGCAACCGCAACCCCAACTGGGCGACACATTTCAACCCGCCCGCGGGCGCGCAACCGCAACCGCACCGCTCACCTGCCGTCCTTCTCCAGGGGATCTCAGGCAGAGGAAAGGTGGGACGGAGGGGGGAGGAGGAGGAGAAGGAGGAGGAGGAGGAGGAGGAGGAGGAGGAGGAGGAAGGAGGAGGAGGAGGGAGGAGGCGGCGGCGGCGGCGGCGCGGCGGCTGCGGCGGCGGCGGCGGCGCGGCGGAGGCGGCGGCGGAGAGGAGGAGGAGGAGGAGAGGAGGGGAGGAGAGGGGAGGGGGAGGGGAGGGGGAGGGGAGGGGGAGGAGAGGAGGAGGAGGAGGGAGGAGGAGGAGGAGGAGGAGGAGGAGAGAGGAGGAGGAGGAGGAGGAGGAGAGGAGGAGGAGGAGGAGGAGGAGGAGGAGGAGGAGGAGGAGGAGGAGGAGGAGGAGGAAGGACGGAGGAGGAGGAGAAGAAGAAGGAGGAGGAGGAGGAGGAGGAGGAAGAGGAAGAGGAGGAGGAGGAGGAGGGGGAGG